TATATATATATATATATATATATATATATATATTACCTTCAATATTTTAATTTTAGTAAAATAATTTAGTAGTATTAACGGTATTTTACAATAAGTATATTAATTGATTTTGGCTTTATTGGGTTACTGTAAAACCTTGAATTGAAGCCCAGTGAGTTTAATCTTTAGTTTGCAAAATAGCCATGGGCTTCTTTTCAAGATACCAGGCTTCTTTTCGAGATAGTGTAGTACAGTACTACACTCATGAATTTCAGAAAACAAGATAAATACAAGCTTGGTTTATACAGTAGATTAGGTGTTTAGGTGGGTGTTTAGGGAGGTTACCGTAAAACCTGAAATTGAAGCCCAGTGGGCTTAATCTTGAGATGAAGCCCATCTCGAATTAAAGCACCCCTCTTTAACTAGCCTCGAAAAGAAGCCTATGGGCTTCTTTTCAAGATAGCGGGCTTCTTTTCGAGATAGTATATTGTAGTACATATAGTACATACTGTATGAATTTCAGAAAACAAGATAAATTAAATACAAGCTTGATTTATACATTAGTTTAGGTGAAATATATGACAGTTTAGAGGTTTCAAAAGCTTATTTAATCGATTTTGGAGCCTACTAATACCGGTATGTAGAAAATACATATACATTTTTTTCTCTCTGACGAATTGTGGTTTTCCCCACGACTGTACTTACGTTGTTCGTTTCGGAAAATACGTTGTTTTTTTAGGAAGTATTTGTTTAGGAAAATACATCCTGAATTTTTTTTTTATACCAGTTGTAAATTTTTTGTAAGCACATTTTTTCACTTACAAAAACTAGATCAACCAAAAAGCAAAATGCAGAAAAATGAAAAATAATTTGTACAAGTTGTTATCCTTTTGCCCAAAAATACTGGGTTTTTAAGCCTTACTATATTTTCCTTGATTTTCTCACCTGGTAAGTCTTCTCTTTTCTTAATTTCATTTTTCAGATGCTTAATTTTCTCATTCTTTTCTTTCAAAGTAATTTCTAATTTTTTAATGTCAGGATCTTTTTGTTGCCTTATCTCATGATTATCGTCTTCTGAACCATAGCTGTGATCTTCCAAATGCTCAGCATAGCTTATTAGTTGCTCACCCATTTCTTTATTAAATGACGCTCTTCCTTTGGTTTCTTTTTTATTACACCTTTAATCTCCTATATACTCTGGCTAAAAGGTGTCTTGAGAATTTCTTTGAGTTTTTTGCTGACTTCTTTAAATCTATGAAGCATAACAAAAAATGATAAGCCTTATTAAATAATATTGACCTTTGCAAGGAAGCATCCTGGCAGGTCAATATTTACATTAAAATTGTGACCCTGTTTTTTGTTTTTTTTACACTGGGTGCATGTTTTACCTTACACTGGTATCTACCTTTCACTATCCAAATCAAAAGACATATTCAATTTTATTTTTTAATTCTAATATTTTAATGTTTGTAAATATAATTTAGGGACAATAATTACTTAGATTCAATTGTAATCATATGCAACTTTGTTGAGAAAATACATATTCGTTGATAAAGATCATTTACTGGCCCATCCAATTTCAGCTGAACATTTGGGACCCTCAATACACAATGAAATACAAGCAAAATTTTAAATTAGAAATCAACATAATAATTTATTTTGAACTGAGATATTGAAAAAGTTATAAATTTCATTTCCTAATAATGAAGGGATTTGTAAAGAAGTTATTGCCTTTTGTGTGTAAAAGTATGATAATTGAATATGATTAAATAATAATATTGGTTTTGAAATATGTGACTGACTCAAGTAAAACCCTACATTTGTTGGTAGGTACAGTAGTAGCAAAAATGTCAGAAAATTGACATCTTGACTTTAGATTTTTGTTTTTATTAAAGAACAATTCTTACAAATATCAAACACTAAATCTAACTTAAGTATTGTTACAAATATCTTTATATAAAATACAAACCCTATATTATACAAAAATCATAGTATTTTTGCAGTAGTTTAAAGGGGGAGAGGGGGCTGCAGGTTTGAATCTTATTTATTTGTGATATCATAACAAGTTATAAAATAAATCAAACTTTTTTAAGTGGGACCCACTTTCAGACTCCTTATTCTTTGGTGACGAAAGGCATTATAATTTTATCATTGGCCTAGGTAAATGTTATTTGGGCCCCGTTCAATAGGCCTACAGATCTAAAGATATAACTTTAAAATTCCTACTTAAATCTTCAAAGGACTCCTCTATAAATAGGTTTCAGAGGCCAGAATTAATAGTTAACTTCACTCAAACCACTTACCTGGTAAATGTGTAGTTCTTAATAGTAATGCACAAATAACTCTTCCACCATGAAGATCTGTGTCTTCTTCCGTTTTCACTTTGTATTTCCTCAGTTGTTTTATCCAGTAAAAAAATTGAAGAAAAGATTGCAATATAATATCTTTATGATGTTCCAAACTTGAGTTTGGCAAACTAGTGACAACTGTGTGACGTTTTCAAATTAGCTATCACGATATGGAAAAACCTGTGTGCTACAAATAGAATAAGCACACGGCACTTTTCACTTTTTAGGTATGATGCGTATCCATAATCTTCTGGATGGATCGATTTACTGTGTTAAATCTGTTCCATCAATAACTGCAAGCCATAAACAGCTTTGTATATTTTGAATTCATTTCAATACTATTTGCTTTCATTCAGGAATAATATGTACTTTGTAATACAGTAAGAGGCTAAAGCAATTCAATTAATATCAACACACAGGTTTTTGTGTGTTATTCAAGTTCAACTATATTATTATTCATGTTTTCTTAGTCACGCAGATGATTATATTTTATTAATACGTTATAGGTTTACTTCACTGCAAATAGGTAGATGATTGTTCTATTGTTATCAATATCATACTTTATCAGGGACTCATGAAATGTCAAAAATATATGACTTCACCATAGTTTGTTCTCAGTACGTTGTCTTTTCTGCATATTGTGCCACTTGTTTTGTTTTTTCCAAGTTTGAATGAACTGCATTTTATTGTCTATTGCTACCTTTTTAGTTCCTACTGTATGCATGCAATGCAATAGGAACTATTGTAATCACTCTTCTTTTTCCTTTGTTTTTTATTGTGTGTAGTATGTGTGTTCGTATGTGTGTAGACATTTATGCAAATGCGCATGCGTCAAAGAAAAGTTTTCCGGCATGTTGTTTTACCTTGCGATGCGAAGTTCGATGTGAAGTTTCTGCAGAGTTCAGCCAGGGCTCACGCTAACCGATCGGCAAGTCGGCATTGATGAAACTATTTTGGTTTTACGGCAAAAAAAATCAACTGCTGTGGCATAGGTATTTTGAAGAAGGCCTAAAATAAAACAAAAAGGTTTTAATACTTGCTGAAATACATTGTTTTTTCATTTTAGATCTCCATTTTTCACTAACTCCATGCGACGTCTGTTGTATGAGTAGTCATATGAAGGTACTATATCTCCGACAGTTGGCTATGCAGCAATGTAAATTGAAGACAAAAGTGAAGGTATAAAGGCAGCCAACTGTCGGGTACATAACGACTGTCTAACTTTCCACAAAAACATGAGGCCTAAAAGCTAGGCCTAGTTCAGTAGTTACTGCGATGCAAGGGTGGTAGATCGTTCAGTCAGTGATATCGTGTTATCGTCTAATACATTTTAATAATGTGTGTAAAATTTAAGAACGCGCCGCGAGGGTCGCTTTCTTTTGTTATGCGGTAGTAGTGTAAGTAGCAGAGTGACGGCAGCAATCTAAGCCTAGCCTAGGGCCTAGATATTAATTATACGTTCTTGATCATCGTAATGAAAACTTCGGGTGACAGGCGATTGGGCCTAACTGGTGTGGACGATCGGACCCAAGATAGCTTCAAATAAATTGTAGTCCTAGTAGGGCACTGCCATCACCTCCACTTCTGATATCGTTCCAAACTACTATAAAATGAAATTACTGTATACCTAGCTAGGCCTAGGCCCTATGCCTACCAAAGTTTTTCAAAGAAATTTGCTAAAAATATTATTGTAATTTGCCTGTCGAATTACATTACCAATGTGGTCTAAAATCACTATGTTGGGCCATAAAGACCCCTTGTATTTTTCAACCTCCATACAAACTTGACCCAACATATATATATAATATATATATTATTATTATTATTATATTTATTATTATTTATGTATATGTATATATATGTATATGTGTATATG